AAGAAAGAAAGAAAGAAAGAAAGAAAGAAAGAAAGAAAGAAAGAAAGAAAGAAAGGAAAGAAAGAAAGAAAGAAAGAAAGAAAGAAGAAAATATCAGGCCAGCTGATACGGCAGAAACAGCTGGAGTTCAGTCATATTCAGGAAGCTGATGTGGACAAGTTCCATTCCAGCACGCACACCCGCCCCTCCTCCTGCTCCCACGGGCTGAAATAAATAATGGAGACAGTGACCTCTGGAGACTAAATAAGAAATTGCAGTCTTGAGGGAGAGATTGGTCTCAATAAATCCTCAGTATGTGTCTCAGGGCACAAAGGTCAGCAGATGAGCCTTTCAAAGACTTTAGTTAATTGCAAATCCCCCCCCCCCCCACCCCCGCACAACTAAATATCCAGAACACGTTCTAGATGATCTTTTAACTTTTTAACTGGAAGTTGATCCTTCTCAGAAAAACGTATCAAAGGAACTTAGCTTTGTACAAGGGAAACCCCACAATGTCAGCATGCAGCTAGGTGGTGGCTAAACAGGGGCATGCTTATTAAAAATGCCGTTGAGCTGGACATGCACAATGACAGCACAAGTTTAACTTTTTGAGCCTAAACTCCCCTGTCTTATATCACACTGAGTTACTATGATTTTAATGAAAAAAAATTAGTCTGTATCTAAGGCATAATATCTGATTGTGACCAAGTGTTTCCTAATTAGCAAACTTAGGCAAATTACTGAATATATATTACTATTTTGAGGTCCAAGAAACTTAAATATTTTCAGTAGAGTATCATGAAAGGGAGATCTCTCTCCTATTGAGATATCCTATTTTTCCTGTCAGTTTCCTCATTTTGAAGCAAAAGAACATATGCTTTATTATTTGTTGGGACTTAATAGTTTAGAAGAGTTGTTCTGCCCTAGAAATGAAAGGAAAGAGCATGTTTTAGTAGGAGCCTCAGGGCTGGCCCTTCTTAGGGACCCTGAGCTTGAGGTCATTTGCTCAAGTTGCATGGTGAAAGGTGTCTGACTCGACTTGGCACCCGAGTGAGCAGCAAATTGGCAAATTGCTTTTGAGGCAGGTTAACAGAGATACCATAGCGATGGCCAATCATTCCCATGGGCAGGTAATTTTTTCAGATAAAGTAGCTACAATACCTTAGAAGACCTATTCTACAAAGCAATTTGATTAGATATTCTAACTTGTTTTGCTTTCTTAAGACCTGGCTAGGGAGGGTGAATTTTCCAGAAAATTATTCCAAAAGGCTATTAAGTGGATTTACCTTAAACAGTTGGACAATTTAATAACTATTTTTATAAGGTCCAGATGCAGAAAATTGTTCTAATTTCTTCCCCCACATTTCCTGATGGTTGATTATTCTTCCCCATCCCCTCACTAATAATTCTTAACAATTCATAGTTCTCTATGTCCTCACACACCTCCCTGCTAACATTTTTGTAATTATATTTTTATGTATTTTCATCTTACTGCAAAGGTAAGATGGATTTGTCCTAGAAAATCTGGAAATTGTAAAAAATATTTTCACATGAAAATAAACAATACCCATAACCCCAAAGATCTGAAATAACAAGTTTCAACATTTTGGCATTTTTTATTCTACTTTTCTTTTTATGCAGATTTTCTAAGTAACTGAGACTCTACAGTGTGTACATTTTTATATTATATAGTGATACTGCCCTTATATTACTCATTTGAAATTATACTTTATCTGTCTGCTATTCTTAATAGTGTAGCTGACTTTGAGAGGTTGTGGGCAGAGTATTTTCATCTCTGTGAGTACAGACACCGTAGAGTGTTGGCCAGTATTTGGATTAATGAATATGTGCCCTGAACACTAGAGGAGACAGAGGAGTTAAATTGGGCATAGGATCTGGTCCTGGGGAGGTTTCAGTTCACTGGGAAGACAGGCCTGCTCAGAGACTGCTCTAATCTAGGAGATGGATAGAGTTACTCCCACAGAAGAGCTATACGTTAAGGGCAGCACCATTTCACTTGACTGTATAGTCACAGCAGATTGGAGCGGACTTCTGGGAATACTGTGAAGTTGTATGCTTTGGCTAACATGTCAGAAGAAGGGATTGCCAGGGATTTGTAGATGCTCCTATCGTTTGTGTTTAATTAAGAAACCTAGACTCCTGGTATGAGACGTGACCTGGGAAAGGCACCTGAGAATCCCCAGAGATGCCAGTGATTGCATTTGGGACACACTGGCTGTGTAGAAATCTTCCATGGGTAGGGATTACTTTGTAAAATTCCAGTGCCCCATTCTAACCACATTTATCAGCCACAGCCCAAGATGCTGGAGAAAGGAAAGTGGATTGCCCTATCTTCTTTTGTTCCCCTTGCCCACCTTGTCACACTAGCTGTATTCCATATGGCAGGGGGAACACACAGTCAGTCAGAATGGGTAAGGAAGAAGAAACCTTACTGGAATAACCTGATATAATCTTAAATCTACAAACTTCATTCTCCCTCGTGTAGTATAGGTCTTGCTAATTAGTGTGTAGATCTGTAATTTGTGAAGCAAAACTTATACCTCTGTAGTCCAGAAACTCCTGACAAGATACTTGGAGAAACTGTAGGTCTACTGAAATATTTTATTAGTTAGACCAGAAGGAAAAAAAATCTAATCTGGAATATATAGGTCACATTCATTTAGTACTTGAGAATGTATAGAGATCAGAAACAAAAGTGAAGCCAAAATATTTTATTAAGTGTTATGCCAACCTTTATTCTGGGGATACATACTACTTGGTTATAAACTACCTAGTATCTTTTCTGAAAATTACATCTGTTCATAGGGAATCAATATGTATATACAGAAAAATAACTATGTGGTGGATATTTATAATTCTAAATAATATAAACCAAGTTAAGACCACTCCTGTTCTCCTTTTTCTACCTTATAGAGGCTGATTCTTACTTAATAGGTTGAGGACAAATTCATTAAGGACCTTTGTTTTTTGGGCATATTTTCCTCGTCTTCCCAGTTTCTGTTCTTAGCAGTGGAACTGAGCTGTTACCATTAGGGCCTGTTTAGAAGACAGAGAGAGAGAGAGGAGTCAGCATTCAGTGGAAATGCGATAGAAGTTATTGCATGGGAAGAGATATTGGATTATTTGTGGATTTTAAACTATTCTTGATGCTCATTTCCAAGGCTAATTAAAAAATCAAGTACACTACTTATTCTGCCCAAAGAGAGTGTTCTCCTACAAGGACAGCTAGCAGAGAGGTAGACTTGTGAGCTATTTCAAAATATATTTCAATCAAAATCTTGGAAATACAGCTTTAAAAATCTCCTAATGCCATGGTTAATTTCGTAACTGCTTTAACTATGTGTTTATGTTAGGATGACATTTCTCATATCTTACCCATATGTTGACAATAGGAGGTCAAAGTATTAGCAGTTGTAACTAAACATCAGATTCCTGATCTGAAAGAGTACTTAGGCAGTGTTTGAGAAAGATTTCTAGTTTTCCTGCTGTAACTGTGGTTTTTACATATGTTTTAAATAAATTTCTCTCCCATTTTTTTTTTTTTTGCAGTGGTAAAAATAGGATGTTCGAAGTCATTGGAGAAACCCTGGAGCATGATTTCCCAAGCTGGATGGCAAAGATCTTGAGACAGCTTTCAAACCCCGGACTGGTCATCGCTGTCATTTTGGTGATGGTGTATGTGCTTTTCCTCCTCACAGAAGCAGCCTTTGTAATGTTCTTCCTGGCTTCTTTTAAGTTTCAGCTTTTCAGCTGTCTCACACTCTCTGGGGGTTGTGCTGTAACCTAACCAAACTCAGCACTGATTACATGGTAGTGAGAGGCTGAAATTCATGAGCCGTGTTCTGATACTATTGGTTGTAATTTGCAGCCATCTGCATCTGTCTTTGCCTGCCTAGGATTATAAGATTGGTTCCCAAGTAACCAAAATAATTATTAGTAAACATCTAAGACTAGGGAAACATAAATGCTAAATGCTTAATCTAATCAGCACATTGAGCTCCCCCCATTCTCTGGCCCCCACTGCTTGTTCCATAAAGCAGATGGCTGCGAACACACAGAAATGATGAGTTTCGAAGTTAATATTCCCCCTGGAGGCCCTCTAGGCTATATTTTAGGGCAAAGGGCTTAAGAGGTCTTAAAAATCACCCTGTCCTTGTTCCTAGAAGGTCATCAATAACTGTGTCCGTGATAATAGAAACAGAGAACCGGAAGGGTCTTGGAAAGGTCAGTTGATCTATCTCTTCAAAGTCAGAGGTGATAGCCAACGGGGAACTTGGGGGGGAGTTTTTGTTTCATGTCACTTTCATTAGTTTCTGACTCAGCCACCACAGATAAAACTTCCATTGTAAGGAAAGATATGTGCCTGCTTTGGAGGAGTTAAGAAAGCAGCCTCTCTCTTCCTTCAACCCTCAAGACTCTCCTAAATAAAAATTCTGAAACCACCATTGCTCTCAGTTACGGAGGGCAAGTATGAACCCACCCTAGAGACACTTTAGAAATAAAACTGATTTGTTTAAACAAAGGTTAAACTGGGAAATCTCAGGGAGAGAATGCCCAGTGATTTGAAGTAAATGAAATGGGTTGTGAGCCAGTTCTGTCATCATCTTTTCCACGGTCATGGTCATGAGCCACATCAGGGAAGCAGGTGTCATCTTCTTAAATTTTATTAATTAAACTGACTTTGTGGCCTGAAATGATTTTCCCTTGGTGAGAATGTAGCAAAATGGAAATAGTAGGACTTTGACAGTAAATCCAATATCTACTCTTTTACACCGCGACACCATCTTTGAGGGAGAGCTAATAGCCTGTAGGTATAATAAAACAGTAAAACAGATTACTATTATATATTACAGAACCTTGATCTGGAATGGCACTTAGAATCTGATAGTAAATCTCTGGGGCAGATATGTTAGAAAATGACCTGCTGGGTACAGCAGGTTTCACCAGATGGCCCGTGAAGTGATTTTTTCCTTCTCCATGTTTTCATGATACAGCTGTTTCTGAGAGCATAAGTATCCTATGGTTTTTCAGAGTCAAGGCCCTTAGTGGGCTAAATGAGATCTTGTTTTGAAAAAGAGAAAAAGAAAAATATAAAACTTAATGTCAGATTTTATAACTATAGCCTTAACTTATTAAGAGACAGATTTATTTTTAAGCAAAAGAGCAACATTGTTCTAATGCCACTAATTAAAGAGTAATAAATTGTCTCAGGAGTGTGGAAGAGGAGACACCACTGCCTTTGTTCCATATATTAACTCATTTAATTTCCACAGTAACTTGAAGAAGTTGGCCTCACTAATCATATTACTGATATGATCTGGAAGATCAGCCCCAAATCAAATGGCTTAATAAGTAGACTCACACCTGGGTCTCCTGTTTTCCACCTCTTCTCCCCCCACTCATTTGCGGCACCAAACACTGAGTTCAGGATGAACGGGAATGTTCAGGAGGGCAGAAGCCACGTGTTAGGAATGGTCTGCACTAGAGGAGGCATACTTTTCTTTAAAGGGCCATATAGGAGATATTTTAGGCTTTGTTGGTCAAGAGGCAAAATCGAGGATATTATGCAAATACTTACATAACAGTTTAAAAATGGAAAAACCATTGTTAGTTCATGAGTCATATGAAACAGGCTGGGAGTCAGATTTGCCCTGGAGACCACAGTTTGACAAACCCTGATATAGACCATCTAGAGGCAAGCTGGCAGGACATAAGATCAAATAGATGGTTTACAAGGTTGATTGTAGTTCTGAGGTTCTGATTTAAAACCCAAATTTCAGTTTATTACTGATTTGATTTTTCAGATCCTGAGTTCTCATCCCCCACTTTATGAGCCCCATACAATTGGCTTGGCTCTTTATTGCCTTTAATGAGAGAATGTTACATGCTACAAGCATTTCAAATTTCCCCGATGGATCATATTAAATCAGCTCGAATGGCTTTTGGGTAACTGGGTAAAATTCAACTCAGTTCTCTGCCGGCAGTTTCTTTCCTTTGGAGACTAGAAAATGATTTGTGAAGAAGACTTATTTAAGTCGCACCCTGAGGCAGAAGAAAATAATGAATAGAGAATTCAGAACTGAAAATGACTCGTGAGGTGTTTGAGTTCATCCTCCAAATCCAGGCATTTTTCTAAGAACATCCTTATAACACACACACACACAGACACACACACACACACATACACACACACATGCACACACACAATTGAGCTCGTACTTCAGAACAGATATTACACCAGATGCTTTCATATATGTAATTTCATTCAAACTCCCACCTCTCATATAAGAGATAGACAAACCCAGCTAAACCATATCAATAATTGTGTTGCTAGCACCAGATGGTTCATAAAGGATATAATCTGGCATGGTGGTGAGTAGAGGAAATGTGTTCAGTATCTAGTTATTTGCAACAAAGAGCAATGCCCATTACCTTTTTTTACTGCACTTTTCTTTGTTTGTTGTGCTTTAAATGAAGATGAACATACTTATTTTTGTACAAATGTTTGGCTGGAACTTGCTTTTTCTAGAAATGTAAATGTCACTTAAAAGCCAAGAACATTCCTTTATAAAACATGTTATTTTTGAAGGAAAGGGAAAATGCAGTCAGTACAGCCTATGGAAAAAAAAAATCCATGTTAATCAACTCTGACTATAAGGATTATATTCTTAGTTGTAAAAGCAAAAGGAGGGAATTTAAGGCAGAAAAGTAGTTTCCTTTTTATTTGACACCTTCCCGGGGCTGGGGGTGGTGGTGGAGGGGGGCTTCACTAGATTTTTTTATTCTGTTATGGCATCAGGTTAAAATGTTACTTTTCATTATACTTTAAACTGATGGTAATACATTTTCAAGAAGAAGCTAAAATGAGGCAGCCAGGTATAACAGAGCTCTGGGCCCTGGGGGAGGAGACGTGGAGCCCAATATCCAAGGCCTGGCTAATTCTGAGTGTGCTTCGTCACCACTCTGTACCTCTGTCTTTTATCTACAAAATTATAGGTTTAAAGTAGAAACTATCTTATCCTCTGATTTAGGTAATGTAGGTTTTAAAAGAATCTTGAGAACCTGAAAAATACCATAAATTATATTTTTTAAATGTAGTTTGGCCATCTATTATCTCAATGCTACTGCAAAGGGCCAGAAGGCAGCGAATCTGGATTTAATAAAGAAGATGAAACAGGTAGGATACAATTTATCTCATAACAGTATTGTCTTTACTAATGTTGAGTAGTAGAAAACACCAGGAAATCTCATGTTCTTCTGTCCTTTTCTTAATTGTGTAGCAAGCTTTGGAGAACAAAATGCGAAACAAGAAAATGGCAGCTGCACGAGCAGGTTGGAGACATACTTTTGTTTGCAATTTTTTTCCCCCTTCAAACAGATTACGCTCCCTCTTTTTTTCTCTCCAAATGGGACATTTGTTGCAGAGTGGCATTATCATTGTAAGCAAGTCAGTCCACAGGTGTTACTGTCCACCTTGTTACATAGTCTCAGGCATCATATCTCGGGGCTTGGTTGTTTTCCAGTGGGAGAAAACAACAGAGAAAAATTCAGAAATGTAAACTTAGCCCTAATGATAGAAAGGCGACTTTGCAAATCATCAGAAGATGAAGAATACATCCATATTGTCATATACAAATAGCAGATACAAATGCAGAATCTTGCCTGCCCGTTTTGTTCTTTTTTGTACATAGAACACATTGGGAAGACACCAAGGAATGAGCACATTGGGAATGAGCTCACCACCATTGATTTCCCAAAGCCTTTTCTAATTCATTAACCTGTCTTTCTTTTCGACCTCCTTAATTTTTAAAATATTAGAATAAGGCATACTCTTAGTGGTTTTACATTCCACATGGAAAAGTGATGCCTAAGAATTTCAGTGAAAATCTTTTCCAACTTTTCCTCATTTTTAACTTAAAAACCCATTCTGTTAGTGGGGCTTCCCTCCACTCACCATAAGTAATAAAAATAAATAAATCCAAATTGGTTTACGTGGAAAGAAAAGACATTTATTTGGCCACACAAATGAGTAGGAGAGTGGAATGCATGGATTCAGGACACATTTTACCCTAAGTTTAGGAGCTATCAGGGCTCAGCCTCACTTCTCTGTGGTTCTTTCCAAATGACCCACCTTGCACGTTGGCTGTCCTCAATGGCAGCGGGAATGGATGCAGCAACTTCTGATGCCATGTTCTCAGAGCACATCTGTCTTAGATTTTTTTCGTCATTAAACTATTTCCTTCTTAATTGCATGTAAAATATTTTTTCAGTTTTATTGGGATATAATTGACAAAATTATATATAAGGCATACATGGGATGATTTGATCTGCATATGCATTATGAAAGGATTCCCACCACTGGGTTAATTGACACATCTATCTCCTCATAGAGTTCCCTTTTTTTTTCAGTGAGAACACTCAAGTTCTACTCTCTTGGCAAATTTCAGTTATACAATACAGTGCTACCCACTGTAGTCACCATGTTATCCATTATGGCCTTGGACTTACTCATCTTACAGCTAAAGTTTGTACCTTTTACCAGGCTCTCCATATTTCCCCCCAGCCCTCATTCTACACTCTTTTTTCTGCAAGTTCAACTTCTTCTTTTCCTTTGATTCCATACATAAATACCACGCAGTGTTTATCTTTCTCTGTCTAGCTTATTTCGTTTAGTATAATGCCCACCAGGCTCATTTATACTGTTGCCAAAGGCAGGATTTCCTTCTTTATAAAACTAAATATTTCTGTGTGTGTGTGTGTGTGTGTGTGTGTGTGTGTGTGTGTGTGTGTGTGTGTGTGTAGTATATTCATGGTGATTTGCCAAAAATTAATTGACCGTATGTGCGTGGGTTTATTTCTGGGCTCTCTGTTCTGGCTCTCTATTGGTCATTTTGTTTGTTTTTGTGCCAATACTATATACTGTTTTGATTGCTACAGCTTTGTAATTTAGTTTGAAATCAAGAAGTGTGATGCCTCCAGCTTTGTTCTTTCTTAAGATTGCTTTGGCTATTTGAGGTCTTTTGCAGTTCCATAGAATTTTAGATTTTTTTTTCTATTTCTGTGAAAAGTGCCATTGAAATTTTGATAGGGATTGCAATGAATCTACAGATGGCTTTGGGTAACCTTTTCACAATAGTAATTCTTCCAGTCCATTAACATGGAGTATCTTACCATTTATGTCTTCTTCAGTCATTGCATAATGACCTTCTTTGTCTCTTGTTACAGTTTTTGGCTTACAATGTGTTTTGTCTGATATCAATATGGCTACCCCTGCTTTTGGTTTCCATTTACATGGGATATCTTTTTCCATCCCTCTACTTTCAGTCTCCATGTGTTCCTTAAAGCTGAAGTGAGCCTCTTGTAGCCATAATGCAGTTGGAATTATGTATGTCATGTATATCGGCAGTATTTTTGTTTTTGCTCTAGATTGTGAATGGAATAACTTACCATTATCAAATTAATATTTAGAATGGTGAGTGAAAAGTTCCAACTTCTAAGATCTGAATTCTAGTGAAGACTTATTGTTATCTTTATTGTTTCAAATAATGGTATAATGCTATAGCATGCTCTTTTTCTGATATTTTCCCATAATTTATACTTAAAAATGTATATAGCTTTGTGAAGGCAAAGACTGGATCTTATTTATAGCTGTTTTCTCAGGACTTAATACAGAATGTTTTACTTAGCAGTCATTCAGTAAGTATCTACTGAGTATCTACTGGACAGTGAGGAATTCTTTTATTACAAAAATTTGAAAGGAAGAAATTTCTATATTAACTACATAAGCAGTAATGAATAAATATTATAAAAAGAGCAGGACTTTCATTCTCCCATCTTTGAATTTGTGAGGATTTTGTAAAATAATAAACTTAGAACTATTTTCAATATAAAAATCCTAAATATTATAGCAACATGAAGCACATTTGGAAGATACAGATTTCAGACCGCCTTGTTAAGAACCATTAAGCACGCTGAAAACTAAAATTTTAATTTCCTTCTTCTTTGTCTTCTCTCTCTCTATTTTTTTTTTTTAAATAGCTGCAGCTGCTGGTGGCCAGTAAGCTTTCATAAAACTGCTAAGGGCCCTTGCTGTTTAAAAGCAATGACTTATGTGAAGGCCAAGAGAACAAGCACTGTGGAGCTGCTGTTCCGTGTTCTAACCCCGATGGATTATCAGCATCATGCTGTTCAATCAAGGCATCACTAGTTCTAGTTTGGCAAGAAGGATTTCCACTTTATTCCAAATTAAGGATTTGTTCCTGCACTGTCACTTTCTCCGCTGATCATTTCCTGATATTTTCCTTGACAGACTGAGTTTAGAAGTGATTAAGTAACAAACCAACAAAGTTACTGGTTTACTCTTTGGGTTAAATTTAAAAACTTTTTGCTCACATAAGCTTTCTTTCTATACATTTCTTCTGCCTTAGTTTTCTTGGCCTGAGAACAGGAATATTGCACCTTCTTTTTTCCTTTGAATTCAGAAATATCTCCATAAAGTATTGTAATCATTCATTAACTCACTTTTTTGAAACAAGTGTCTTGTTTCCTGTCTCCCCATCCATGGTCCCCACAACTATATACCCAAGACCTTTTTATTTGCTGCTAGATTCAGTATGAAAGGGAGTGGGCTTTTTATAAGACACAAATCTAGTGAATCAGGGGTCTGATAAGCCCTGGGGCTGAAGGTCTTTCACTTTGTGAAAGTACATGGTTCTTAGACAACCAACTCTTCAGCAGTTAAAAGAAAAAAAAAAAAAGACCGTAAGTGGTTGCTATTCCATCACAGTCTGATCAGGACCTCTAAGGATGATATCTCCTGAGTTTAGATTCTAATATTTTACAATTTTTCTCTGCTTTTTTTGTTGTTAGGAAAATACACACTTTTACAAGGGCTTTAGTTTATAGATCTGTTTAAGTATTATTATTTATTTAAAGTTTGAATTGACTTTGAATAGTAAACAGTCGATGCCCTCAGGCAGCCTTGTTATGTAACTGCAGTCACATCTCTTAAATCAGTGTCTTTTTCCAGAGCTAAGCCATTTTGCCTGCCATTCCCTGCAGTTGACTTGCCGATTTTTGTTACCTTGTCTTTGGGTTTTTCCTTATTTTGGCCACAGAATGATTTCACTAATCCTCTGCCAGTCCATGGGCTCATCATGTCCATTATACAGATTCCAGACTTACTTCCTTTGTTCAAGTTTTCTAGATTAGCCTCCACTCCCAACTGTATCACTCTCTAGAGTAGGTTTCCTTGGACTCTTAATGTCTTTAATTCAGAATCTATTATTTATATAGATTTTCCTGTGATGTGTAATGGCTCTTTATTGTTTCTTCTATGCATGGATCATCTTTTCTACCCAGAGTGTCAGCTCCCTATGAGCAGGGACCACATCTTATAAGTCTTTTGTATGCCTAGTACAGTGCTGTGCACAGGTAGGCACTGAGTAAATGCTTGTTAATTACATTGAATCAATTTAACTTACAGCAGTTGCATTATGAAACAAAAACTTCTGTTATCTGTATGAAAAATGTTACTGTGATGTAAGAAATTGAATTATCTGCTGATATGCTTAGTTTATTATCTAATGAGATTACAACACAGATGACTAAATAAAGCTAGTGCTTATTTCTACTTGGATCATTTTTGTACTGTGTAGTAATAAGATTAGAGAATTGGTTTATATGTGTTGCCAAATTTACAGTGTGGATGACACTTTCTTGCTCTTGATCTCCTCCATAAGGAAGACGATGAGCGATGACCAACTGTCCCCCAAGGACTTATCTGCTAGTTACCATCTGTCAGCACACAAAGCTATTACAGTATTATTGACTATATTCCCTATGCTGTACATTATATCCCATGACTTATTTATTTTATAATTGGAAGTCTGTACCTCTTAAAGCAATGTGCTCTTCGAACAAATGCTCATGGTATAAGAATTCAGACATGATTTACTATAAATTAAAAAATAACTTGGATTTTTATAGCACCTGAATACCCACCTGATTTAAGCTAAGCATTTTTTAGAAACTTTAAACCTTTCAGTTTCCAGAAAGCTACTGAAAATATTTCTACACTTCTACATGAACAACCATCTGAAACAGCAAATGTAATTTCCAGAGCAGTTTGACGACTATTCAGAGAATAGCCTTTCACTGGAAGGGTTCTGATTGCTCTAATTTATTTCTATATCTCTATTTCTACATATGATGATCAAAGCCATAGTAAAAATTTAGAAACTAGGCTACATCTTTTAGTCTAAGAGGAGTACATGCCAAATACATAAAATAACTAAGTTAACCTATCTAAAGAGTTTTATTATTTATTTGAAAACTGAAAAAGAAATGCATTTCAACATATTTTTTTTTTAATTACCTTCTTTGGCTTCTTAGAGGAGCACTTAGCTGAAACCGTATCAAGAGATTCATATTAACAAACTTATGATCTGAACTATGTTTTCTTATACTGATTCATCTCTACAAGTACCAGCGCCAAAGCCTATCCTGGCCATGTCTGGAAATGTGCTGGTGACCCAGGTATTACTGTGTGCTGAGGTACAGTGCCCCTAGCTGCAGCGGGCGGTCAGCCTTCACGCTTGAGGGGATAAGGAGATAAGTAGATGTGTTGCATCACATTCCATGCCTGGTACTCCAGGGTCCCTTGTGTTCTGGAGCTCTGCCTTCCACGAGTTGACTTGACTGGAACTTGCAGTATTTCCCTTTGCTTTACCAGCTCCTTCCCAAAAGAGTATGTGTAGATTGGGTAGGTGGGCTTGTAATAAACACTGGGACCATACTGAGTACATATGCACCAGGAACCGCTCTGAGACCAGTACACCTTTATTCATTTGATAAACATTTATNTGTAACCTAACCAAACTCAGCACTGATTACATGGTAGTGAGAGGCTGAAATTCATGAGCCGTGTTCTGATACTATTGGTTGTAATTTGCAGCCATCTGCATCTGTCTTTGCCTGCCTAGGATTATAAGATTGGTTCCCAAGTAACCAAAATAATTATTAGTAAACATCTAAGACTAGGGAAACATAAATGCTAAATGCTTAATCTAATCAGCACATTGAGCTCCCCCCATTCTCTGGCCCCCACTGCTTGTTCCATAAAGCAGATGGCTGCGAACACACAGAAATGATGAGTTTCGAAGTTAATATTCCCCCTGGAGGCCCTCTAGGCTATATTTTAGGGCAAAGGGCTTAAGAGGTCTTAAAAATCACCCTGTCCTTGTTCCTAGAAGGTCATCAATAACTGTGTCCGTGATAATAGAAACAGAGAACCGGAAGGGTCTTGGAAAGGTCAGTTGATCTATCTCTTCAAAGTCAGAGGTGATAGCCAACGGGGAACTTGGGGGGGAGTTTTTGTTTCATGTCACTTTCATTAGTTTCTGACTCAGCCACCACAGATAAAACTTCCATTGTAAGGAAAGATATGTGCCTGCTTTGGAGGAGTTAAGAAAGCAGCCTCTCTCTTCCTTCAACCCTCAAGACTCTCCTAAATAAAAATTCTGAAACCACCATTGCTCTCAGTTACGGAGGGCAAGTATGAACCCACCCTAGAGACACTTTAGAAATAAAACTGATTTGTTTAAACAAAGGTTAAACTGGGAAATCTCAGGGAGAGAATGCCCAGTGATTTGAAGTAAATGAAATGGGTTGTGAGCCAGTTCTGTCATCATCTTTTCCACGGTCATGGTCATGAGCCACATCAGGGAAGCAGGTGTCATCTTCTTAAATTTTATTAATTAAACTGACTTTGTGGCCTGAAATGATTTTCCCTTGGTGAGAATGTAGCAAAATGGAAATAGTAGGACTTTGACAGTAAATCCAATATCTACTCTTTTACACCGCGACACCATCTTTGAGGGAGAGCTAATAGCCTGTAGGTATAATAAAACAGTAAAACAGATTACTATTATATATTACAGAACCTTGATCTGGAATGGCACTTAGAATCTGATAGTAAATCTCTGGGGCAGATATGTTAGAAAATGACCTGCTGGGTACAGCAGGTTTCACCAGATGGCCCGTGAAGTGATTTTTTCCTTCTCCATGTTTTCATGATACAGCTGTTTCTGAGAGCATAAGTATCCTATGGTTTTTCAGAGTCAAGGCCCTTAGTGGGCTAAATGAGATCTTGTTTTGAAAAAGAGAAAAAGAAAAATATAAAACTTAATGTCAGATTTTATAACTATAGCCTTAACTTATTAAGAGACAGATTTATTTTTAAGCAAAAGAGCAACATTGTTCTAATGCCACTAATTAAAGAGTAATAAATTGTCTCAGGAGTGTGGAAGAGGAGACACCACTGCCTTTGTTCCATATATTAACTCATTTAATTTCCACAGTAACTTGAAGAAGTTGGCCTCACTAATCATATTACTGATATGATCTGGAAGATCAGCCCCAAATCAAATGGCTTAATAAGTAGACTCACACCTGGGTCTCCTGTTTTCCACCTCTTCTCCCCCCACTCATTTGCGGCACCAAACACTGAGTTCAGGATGAACGGGAATGTTCAGGAGGGCAGAAGCCACGTGTTAGGAATGGTCTGCACTAGAGGAGGCATACTTTTCTTTAAAGGGCCATATAGGAGATATTTTAGGCTTTGTTGGTCAAGAGGCAAAATCGAGGATATTATGCAAATACTTACATAACAGTTTAAAAATGGAAAAACCATTGTTAGTTCATGAGTCATATGAAACAGGCTGGGAGTCAGATTTGCCCTGGAGACCACAGTTTGACAAACCCTGATATAGACCATCTAGAGGCAAGCTGGCAGGACATAAGATCAAATAGATGGTTTACAAGGTTGATTGTAGTTCTGAGGTTCTGATTTAAAACCCAAATTTCAGTTTATTACTGATTTGATTTTTCAGATCCTGAGTTCTCATCCCCCACTTTATGAGCCCCATACAATTGGCTTGGCTCTTTATTGCCTTTAATGAGAGAATGTTACATGCTACAAGCATTTCAAATTTCCCCGATGGATCATATTAAATCAGCTCGAATGGCTTTTGGGTAACTGGGTAAAATTCAACTCAGTTCTCTGCCGGCAGTTTCTTTCCTTTGGAGACTAGAAAATGATTTGTGAAGAAGACTTATTTAAGTCGCACCCTGAGGCAGAAGAAAATAATGAATAGAGAATTCAGAACTGAAAATGACTCGTGAGGTGTTTGAGTTCATCCTCCAAATCCAGGCATTTTTCTAAGAACATCCTTATAACACACACACACACAGACACACACACACACACATACACACACACATGCACACACACAATTGAGCTCGTACTTCAGAACAGATATTACACCAGATGCTTTCATATATGTAATTTCATTCAAACTCCCACCTCTCATATAAGAGATAGACAAACCCAGCTAAACCATATCAATAATTGTGTTGCTAGCACCAGATGGTTCATAAAGGATATAATCTGGCATGGTGGTGAGTAGAGGAAATGTGTTCAGTATCTAGTTATTTGCAACAAAGAGCAATGCCCATTACCTTTTTTTACTGCACTTTTCTTTGTTTGTTGTGCTTTAAATGAAGATGAACATACTTATTTTTGTACAAATGTTTGGCTGGAACTTGCTTTTTCTAGAAATGTAAATGTCACTTAAAAGCCAAGAACATTCCTTTATAAAACATGTTATTTTTGAAGGAAAGGGAAAATGCAGTCAGTACAGCCTATGGAAAAAAAAAATCCATGTTAATCAACTCTGACTATAAGGATTATATTCTTAGTTGTAAAAGCAAAAGGAGGGAATTTAAGGCAGAAAAGTAGTTTCCTTTTTATTTGACACCTTCCCGGGGCTGGGGGTGGTGGTGGAGGGGGGCTTCACTAGATTTTTTTATTCTGTTATGGCATCAGGTTAAAATGTTACTTTTCATTATACTTTAAACTGATGGTAATACATTTTCAAGAAGAAGCTAAAATGAGGCAGCCAGGTATAACAGAGCTCTGGGCCCTGGGGGAGGAGACGTGGAGCCCAATATCCAAGGCCTGGCTAATTCTGAGTGTGCTTCGTCACCACTCTGTACCTCTGTCTTTTATCTACAAAATTATAGGTTTAAAGTAGAAACTATCTTATCCTCTGATTTAGGTAATGTAGGTTTTAAAAGAATCTTGAGAACCTGAAAAATACCATAAATTATATTTTTTAAATGTAGTTTGGCCATCTATTATCTCAATGCTACTGCAAAGGGCCAGAAGGCAGCGAATCTGGATTTAATAAAGAAGATGAAACAGGTAGGATACAATTTATCTCATAACAGTATTGTCTTTACTAATGTTGAGTAGTAGAAAACACCAGGAAATCTCATGTTCTTCTGTCCTTTTCTTAATTGTGTAGCAAGCTTTGGAGAACAAAATGCGAAACAAGAAAATGGCAGCTGCACGAGCAGGTTGGAGACATACTTTTGTTTGCAATTTTTTTCCCCCTTCAAACAGATTACGCTCCCTCTTTTTTTCTCTCCAAATGGGACATTTGTTGCAGAGTGGCATTATCATTGTAAGCAAGTCAGTCCACAGGTGTTACTGTCCACCTTGTTACATAGTCTCAGGCATCATATCTCGGGGCTTGGTTGTTTTCCAGT